GGCCAGCATTACTCTGATATCAAAATTAGACAATGACAGCACAAAATAGAATACTACAGGACTATATATCTCATGAACTTCAATGCAAACATCCTCAACAAAATATTAACAAGTTACAACCAGTAATGAACAAAAAGAATCATGCACCACCACTATATCTTGCAATGCCCTTTGAGGATCTATAATTGTTTCAAAATAAATAAAAAGATTTAAAAAATATACTGAAGAAGGTGTATTCTCAAAACAGAACATTTCAGAATAGGCATGAGTGGAAAGTCAGTCATGAGGCCCCTGCACAATTCACGTGAGACAGTATCAATTTCTTACTTACCTAAAGTTAAGGCTGGAGTAGTAAAGCTATTGAAGGGATTGATATTAAGGAGATAAAACTGGTATCAGGTGTGAAGGTGAGAAAAAGGGACTCAATTATCAGTTATTCAGTACAATCGTTGATTTGTACATATTGAAATTTAGGTGATAAAATAAACACGAGGATGGACACTAAGTAGTTGAATAGAGCTAACATGGAGATGAAGATTCAAGAGTTGTACGCACGGCGCAGGCCACTGTACTCAGGGGAGGGAAAGAGCATCCAGGGAGGACAAGGACGGACAAAGTATATCTGTATCTGTGGGAAGTGTATCTTAGATATCTGCGGTTTTTAATGTCTAAAATTACTATTTTTTTCTTCATTTAATTGTGGTCACAGATGATAGTTTCCTTCTTTTCTTTTTAAATATTTATTTATTTATTTTGAGAGAGAGAATGAGAGAGAGAGAGAGTACATGAGAGAGGGGAGGGTTAGAGGGAGAAGCAGGCTCCTCGCTGAGCAGGGAGCCCGATGCGGAACTCGATCCCGGGACTCCAGGATCATGACCTGAGCCGAAGGCAGTCGCTTAACCAACTGAGCCACCCAGGTGCCCAATAGTTTGCTTCTTTCTGATGTGTTGATTCTGTTTATGGGGCTTAAAACATTGTCATTTCTGGGCGCCTGGGTGGCTCAGTCGTTAAGCGTCTGCCTTCGGCTCAGGTTGTGATCCTAGGGTCCTGGGATCGAGCCCCATGTTGGGCTCCCTGCTCCGCGGGAAGCCTGCTTCTCCCTCTCCCACCCCCCTGCTTGTGTTCCTGCTCTCACTGTCTCTCTCTGTCAAATAAATAAATAAAATCTTAAAAAAAAAAATTGTCATTTCTTTGAAAAATGTTCCGTATATACTTGCAAAGAATACATGAGCTCCAATTTTTCTCTTTGACACACGTGGATACTGATACCCTACATATACCAAAACCCCAGTCCTCAAACCCAATGTCATCAGAATTTAATGGGGAATAAAGAAGATGTCATATTAGTAGCTTTGACTCCTTACCAAATGAGCTTCTTATAAACAGTTTGTCCAGGAAAAAATCTCCTCATTCAAAGATAGTAATAAACATTTCCTGATGTACAAAGATACTATAGCAAAAAGAATGAGAGAAAAAAAGAAATTAAAAGGAACATGCTAGAAATAAATTACCACAATATAGAAGAAAACACATTCACCATGATTTCAAGGAATTCACTAAAACAATTAACTACCTAAAATAAATAGGAATCTAAGAGTCCAAGGAAGAAATAATGGGCAAACAGGCTAAAGAAAATGGTTATGTAGGGTGCCTGGGTGGCTCAGTCATTAAGCGTCTGCCTTCGGCTCAGGTCATGATCCCAGGGTCCTGGGATCAAGTCCCACATCGGGATCCCTGCTCCGCGGGAAGCCTCCTCCCTCTCCTGCTCCCCTTGCTTGTGTTCCTGCTCTCGCTATCTCTGTCTCTGTCAAATAAATAAATAAATAAATAAATAAATAAATAACTTGGAAAAAAAAAGAAAATGGTTATGTAAATTAAAAAAATAAATTGGCAGAACTCAGTAAAGAAGTGAAAATGAACAAGCAATACAGAAATGGGAGGTCCCTCTGAAAGCAATAAAACACCATGTGAAAACACAAAAAGTGGCAAGGAGCAGATTAAGACAAGTGAGCAACATGAAATGGAAATAAGGACTTTTAAAGGAAAACAGAAAAAAAATAGAGTTCAATAAAAAACATCTAACAAACAAAAGAATCCTTGAAGTGGAAGCATAGAACTTTTATCATTAGTCACAGTATAAATTTAATAGTTATTGTCTAAAACAAGAGATTAAAAGATTCAGTTAAAAAAAAGAGAGAGGCAAACGATAAGAGACTCTTTAACTATAGAGAACAAACTGAGGGTTGCTGGAGGGGAGGTTGGCAGGGGATGGGCTAGATGGGGGATTAAGGAGGCACTTGTGATGAACACTGGGTGTTATATGTAAGTGATAAATCACTGAATTCTGCTCCTGAAACTAATATTACACTATATGTTAACTAACTAGAATTTAGATAAAAACTTGAAATACTAAGAAAAAAAAAAGATTGAGTTCAAAATGTTAATGTGACAAAGATCACATTAAAAGAACCAACCATACAGAAAAGAATCCAAACCTTCCAAATTACCGGAAGGGACACAGAACCAAAGTAAGAATACAGAGTATAAGGTGAAAGATATATAAAAGAAGTATCTTTATCAGAAATGTATGGAAAATACATCTTTCCAAACTGCTATACAGAAAAAGTGCACAAGGACTCCGAAGGATGACAGTAAAAGGATGAGCAAAAGACATATCTGGAAATGCCAACAGAAAAGAAACAAGAAACTCTATCTCAATATCAGATAGAGCTGAATTCTAGGGAAAAATTATTAAATATAACAAGGACACAATCCAAAATTAATTTCAGATGTCATTACTATCACCACACCAAATTTCATAGCATCAAAGTTTATGAACAGAAACTACAGATAAATATAGACAGAAATATATTTGTGGTGGGAAACAGTATCTCTCAGCTCCAACAGATAAGGTAAAAACAAAACAAAAAACACACTGTACAAACCTCATAACTATATAAGATGGCTTATTGATAAGACAGCAAATTCTGTATCTTAAAAAATTCATGTGCCTATATAACATTCGGAAATATTAAACATAAAATTTGCACACACACACACTTTACACAAAAGTTAACATTTCAGAATAAAATCAGTACAAATTCTCTCCAAAGCTGCATCCTAATTTTATCAAAAGTAGAATTAGCTTAAATAAAAATCTTAATACCTAAAAGTGAAAATGTGGTAAATAGTAATTAAAGATTTGGTGAGAAATTTAATATGTTCCTAGAAATTCATCCACTCCATCTAGATTTTTATATTTATTTGCATAAGACAAATTATTTTCCTAAATTATTTCTGAACACTGTTTTGCTGTATATCTTATCTTTTGATATATAGCATTTTTATTATTTTTGAGATACTTTGTTATTTTAACTTTGGAGTGGACTGCTAAATGAGGAAATAATGTCTCTTTCACACGTCCCTATGATAAACCCTATTTGGCTGTTGTTTTCAGGTACTCTTGAATTCATTTATGACTTCTGCATCTATGTTCATTGTTTTCATGTACTCTTGAATACATTTATGACTTCTGCATCTATGTTCATAATTTCCAGTTCTTTTACTGTTCTTGACAGGTTTGGGCATCAAGATTCATATATAAACAAAATAAAACAAACACCACAAACAAGGTTGGGAATAATTTTAGATTATCATCTTTACCCAAAACTTTGGCATAAAGATCAACTATTAATCCACATGATGTTTTCCATCATATTTGACTGTGTAGGAAATGTTTGATAAACATTTTAATTTCCTCAAGGGCTTCTGAACCATCTGTATTTACCAATTTTGACATTTATTTTTTGTAAAACTGTATCCCTATTGTTTAGGTTTTCATATTTTTCTATGATTTTGTGTAATATTCACTCAAGATTGTTTTAATCTTTGATAAAGCAGTAACCATCTCTCCTGTTTTGTTACATACTTCCAGTGTATCTTTACTCCCTGGTTCTTCATCACCACATTCAGAAGCCACTTATGCTTCTGTCAGACATCTTCATCAATTATGTTTGACTCTATGTGACTAATTTCTTCCCTCATTTTATTGTTTTTTCTAGTCCTTATTGTTATTTTATATTTATTGAATTCTTTTTCTAACTTCTTCAGTTCTAAGTGTTACTCATACCTTAGGTCTTTTCTCCCCGAAACTTCCAGGATTCCTTAAAAAGGCATTAAATTTATATTTTTTCCCTCAATCTATAGTTTAGCTTTGCACACAAACTTTAAAATGTAGTTCTTTATTTAATTGAAACTAAACTCAAGGAATTTTCTAAGATCCTCTATGGTTTTTGATTTAAAGAATATTTATATAGGAAAAAAGTTTAAACTTTTCAGATATGAGGGTTTCTTTTGCTAGCCTTTTACTTTTTTTAAACTTTTTTTTTAATTGTAGTAAAATGTACATAAAATTTACCATTTTAAAATGTATAGTTCAGATATTAAGTCTATTCCCAAAGTTGTGCAAAAGTCTTTTACTTCGTATTTCTAATTTAATGCTCTTGGTTAGAGAGTAAAATCAACATTATAGCAAAGTTTCATATTTTTTGTCTGCCTGAATTAATGTTTTTGGAAGTAGTTCATAAAATAGATCAGCGGAGAACCAACATCTAAAAAACAAATTTAAAAAAAAGAGGAGAAATATTTATGTGGGGAGAAACAGTTTAAGAAGAAATAGAGAAATACTTTGAGAATTATGCACAAAAACAATTTCTAATCAGGAATCTTATCCTCAGGCAAAGATCAGCACAGCATGAGGACAAACTAAAAGGCAGTTTTGGACATTCCACTTCTCCACTGTCATACAGTTGGCCTCTAGATGTGGAGACACCCATGTGTTGCTCATTCTTGGCAGAAAAGATCAAGATTTGCTTTAGGGAAATAAAGGAGTCTGGTTGCTTCCTGTGACCAACCTGCCGCTGCCCAGAGGTTCTGGTGACATATCACAGGTATCTATTCCCAGGATGAATTCCCTACTCCCTGGGATTCTTCCTTCTCACCTCGTATGAATTATCACATTCCTCTGGAACCAGGACCAGGGATTTCTGGGGAGAGGTCCGATTAGCTGACATGATCATGGTAGGTCTCAAACTTTATTCTCTCAGGAGCCTAAAGCTTTGTAGACATCTGTAAACTCAAGCAGAGCTGCTGGAGAGAGGCAGGCTGGAGTCTGGAAGATCTAACCCAGGAGCTCCCGAGAGACACCAAAAAACCTAGAACGACAATGTCCACACAGTCAGATACTAGATATTCATCACACAAACCTTTCCTGTGAACACCAAGGTGAAGTTCCCTGAGCTAGACACACAGAGCAGAGGCTCTCAAACTTGAGTGTGGATTCAAAACACTTGGGACTTCTTAGAATACAGTTAAAATTCCTCAACCTCACTGCCAGTTTCTGATTTAATAGGCCTCAGGTAGCAATTGTATTAGTCTAGTCAGGCTGCTATAATAAAGTACCACACACTGGGTAGCTTATAAACAACAGAAATTTATTGCTCACAGTTCTGGAGGCTGGAAAGTCCAAGATCAAGGAGACAGTATGGTTGCATTTTAGTCAGGGGCCTCTTCCTGATTCATAGCCAGCAGCTTCTCATTGTGTCTTCACATGGTAAAAGGGGCTCAGGAGCTATGTGGGATGTTTTATAATAGCACTAATCATTTATGAGTGCCCCACCTCCATGACCTAATCAGTTCCCAAAAGCCTCACCAACTAATAGGGTATTTCTGGAGATTAGGATTTCAACATAAAAATTCTGGGGGAACACAAACATCCAGACCATAGCAGGGTCCAAGAATTTGCATTTCTAAGTAGTGCCCAGGTGCTGTTGATGCTGCTAGTCCAGGGACCACACTTTGAGAACCAGTGCTGTGGAGAATATAAAGCTTAATGAAAGCTGTGATGGATATTAGTCATGAGATACGGAGTAATATTACTTAAAATTTGAACTGTAGCTCTTATATCTTTCAACTATGAGAATATGAAGAAGTTCCTTCCATTTTAGTTTCAAGAATAAGAATGAAAGTATCTATTGCATAGAGTTATAAAAATTAAATGAGATGATGCTCATAAAGTATTCAACATCTCCCTGGCACACAAGAAGCATATAATAAATATCAGCAATTACCATTCTCTATTAGATATTAAAACTAAATATAAAAACAATGTAATCAAACAGAGAAAATAAGAGCTCAGACAATACTGACTTATACATGTAACAAAAATGGCATTCAATGAGTATGCACAGGACATTTATTGTGTAAGTGGCACTGACATAATTGACCATCCACCTGGAAAAAAAAAACAAACTATATCCCTATCACACATTATACGTTAGACTGAATTCCAGCAGGACTAAACATTTAAGTATATGTATTTTATAAACCCCAAAAGATATTTAAATAAATTTTAGTAGTATATGTTTGCATGAACATTGTAGTGGGGTGGGAGAGATCCTTATTACACATATGAGAAAACCCAGATGATATAAAAGAAAAAACATATTTCTGGTTAGAGGATATTTCTTAATTATATATTAAAATACACTTTAAAGATAAAAATGAAGATATATATAAAATTTCAATATGTAACAAGTTATCTCTAAATTTTTAAAAAAATCTAGCAATCAATATGGAAAAAAAAAGCACAGAAAAAAACCCTGAACAGAGGATATGAAAATTCACAGAAAAGGAAATTTAAATAGTAATTAACCAAAAAGATGCCAATTTTACTAACAGGAAAGCACATTACAGCAATTACATATAATTTCTCCTAAGAATAGTAAAAACTTATTAATTTAATTTTTTAAGTAGGCTCCAAGCCCAGCAAGGAGCCCAACGCAGGTTTTGAGCTCACCACCCTGTGATCAAGAGTCGGTCGCCCAACAAACTGAGCCACCAAGGTGCCCAGTAAAAACTTACTTTAAAAAATTCAGTGCTGGAAAGCATTTGGGAAAATGACCCGTTTTATAAATTATTCGTGGGAACCTGAATTGTTATGGTATCTTTTGAGTTATTTAGTCATATCTATTATTAAAAATAAGCAATTGTTCCTAATAATAGTTTCAAATATACAGAGCGGATACTGACAGAAAGAAGGCCAAGTGGACAAATCACTCCAGTGAGTTTACCTTTCTCTGTAATTAATTAAGCAGACAAGATAAACAGAATATATATGAAACAATACAATGAGAACACACATTGTTTTGATGTAATAGATGTGACGTTTATGAAAACCGACCAAGAACTAACGGTAAAAAAAATTTTTAAGCTCGAGCATTACCCAGAGGCATTACATGAAATAGACAACGCACTTCTAAATAACTCACGGATGAAAGAAAAAACCTGAAATTTTTAAAAAGCCAGTACTTAGATTTGAACAATAAAATGCTACGCATCAAAACTTATGAATGTTTAGAAAGCAAACTCATCATAGACCCCACCGACCCCCGTAACTGACTCCACAGCTCAGTGACCACTGACTCCCATCACTGAGCCCACAAATCCCATACTCATCTCAAAGATCCCCATCACTGACCCGAGAGACTCCCATCACTGCTCTCACAGCAACGGACGCCACAGACTCTTCACCACTGAGCCCAGAAACCACCATCACTCACTCTACGGACAACACCTCCATCATCGACCCCACAGAATCCCTAATCACGACCAACCAAAATCACCTGAGACCTTTCGGAATTAAAATGCGGAGAAACGCCTGACATCAGCGGCGAAAATCCTTTCGAGGACCACTTCCGCTTCCGGTCTGGCCTCTAGCACCTCCTCTAATGAACTGTTGTTAGTGCGCATGCTCTGAGTTACTTTGGAAGCCGCACATGCCAACAGTTAACATGGTGCGGTTCTCGTAAGAGACGCGGTCGAACCGAGAACATGGCCTCGCTCAATGGTGCTTCTGCGCGCGAGCCGCCATCTTTGAGGCGTGTCCATTCCGTACAGCGGAGGAAGAGGCCTCCCGCCGGTTTTCATAGAGCGAGACCGGGATTGCCACATAGAATGCAGGGGTGAGGCCCTGGTCGAGGTAGGCTTCTGTGAGGGAGAAGGTATTGGCGATGGGGTCTGGTACTCTGTGTCATATTTAGAAAAGCTAGTTTGCCTCTAGGGATACGGCGCTTGGCTGAGAGCAATTATCTGCTGGGAGAAACCACCAGGAATGAAGGGAGCCGGGGAGGAAAAATCACCAAGGGAGAAGGACAAACGTTTTATATGTTACGGCTGAATCCAGGGAGGAGTCATCAGGGGATGAGGGGAGAAGTTAGGACAGTACAGTCTACTTTTTGGAGAAACCGCTTAGGAAGAATGTGGAGAGGTCAGAACGGGAGCCCCATCCTGGATGAAACCACCCGGCAAGATAGATGTCAGAATGGGCTGCACGCAGGGTAGTTTAGCCTTTTACAGGAGGAACCACCTGGGGAAATAGGGTACAAGTCGTGGTGGTCCAGACCTCTCCTGAAGGATACCACCAGGGCAAGATGGCACCTTCTGAAGGGCTGGTGGAGGGAAAGGGAGCCTTGAATCCCCATCAATCTCCATTAGTAGGCAACAATTATAAAAATAACAATGGTTTTTAATATGGTCAACGTGTGACAAAAAGCACTTAAGGAAAACTGCTATTTTTGTTTTAATTTACAAATTTAGTTTGTAAATTAAAATCTGAGTAATAACAACGCCCTTGGGTTGTAAATGAAGCCTAAAGTCTGGGGTGTGTGTGTGTGTGTGTGTGTGTGTGTGTGTGAAGACACAATTCCTTTCATCCGGTGAACTAAACATTCTTCAAAACCCCGATAAATATTGCCTCTGCCAGGAAGTTCTTCTACCTGACAGTGGTAGGAGGTTCTATGACCTACTGAAATTCTGTGTCAATCCCAGAAGTGGGGAAGGGGTTTTGAGGGAACTAGACCTAGGCTCTGGTGTGGGACTGCTAGGTACCTTCAGGCTAGTTATGTCCCTCTCTGGGATTCAGTTTAAAAATAGGGCCAGTTAGAGGGTTGGACTATGCTTACATCAGGTTCTCCTTCTCCCAAAGCCTGGTTGAAGGAGAAAATCTGTGGAAGTCTATTAGTAAACACACATTTTTATCAGAGGTCTAAGAATAACTGTTAATTTTGTTGGTAGTGTGATTATGTTAGAAAGAAGACTTATCTTTTAGAGATTTATATAGAAATACTAACGAGCAAAATGTTAGCTTAAAAAACATCACTGAGGAGGGGTAGATGGATAAAACAAAAATAACAGAATGTTGGTAAATGTTGAAAGCAGGTGATAGGTACATAAAGTTTATTATAATGTTTTCTTCAGTATTTGTGTGAAAATTTCACAGTAAAAATTTAAAAAGAAAAGGAGTATAAAAATCATTTACAACGGAATATTATCAAGAAGAAAGCAGGTGTGTTGATAGTATTAGATTATACAGATTTCAAAGCAAACAATATTAACGGAGATGTTCCAAATTTTAATAAGATGCAGCTACCAAGAGCATACAATACTAGTAACATTTATCTAACAATATAGCTCTGAAATATATAGCAAAAACTGGTAAAATAGGGAAATTTTGAGGAACTCACAATCACAGTAACAAACTAACATCTTTCAGAAACAGATCAAATAGAAGAAAGGTAGGTATAAAGCTATATTGGGATAACATAAGTAATATGTTATCATAAGTAATATATATGCTTGATATATATCTACACTTTATTTTATTTTTAACCAGAACAAGAACATTTTTTCAAATATACATGGAACACTCATAAAAATTCTCCAAAAAGTAGGACATAAAAGACAGTACAAAGCCCCCAAACTGATATCACATATGCCGTACTCTCAGACTACATAAAAATGAAAATAGAAACCAAGAGACAATAAAATATATAAAATGTTCCAAATGCGTGTACATTAAAATACACACATCTGGGGGCGCCTGGGTGGCTCAGTCGTTAAGTGTCTGCCTTCGGCTCAGGTCATGATCCCAGGGTTCTGGGATCGAGCCCCGCATCGGGCTCCCTGCTCCACGGGAAGCCTGCTTCTCCCTTTCCTGCTCCCCTTGCTTGTGTTCCCTCTCTCGCTGTGTCTCTCTCTGTCAAATAAAGAAATAAAATCTTTAAAAAATAAAATAAAATAAAATACACACATCTGAATAATCCTGGGGTTAAGGACAACATAACACTGGCTATTGCAAACTATTTAGAATGAAGAGGAAAATGATAGATAGTACTTGCATATGAAAAATCTAAGGGATGGGCCAAAATGATACCCAGAAGAAAATCTCACCTAAAATTAGGAAACTAGAAAGAGTGAAAACAAATTAATTAAGCTTTAATTCAATCACATTCTACTAAAGTCCTATTAAATACTCCCAAAGAAATTGGAAAGGAGGAATTAATGTGATAAACAGATGTTAATAAAATAAGTAGGGAAAAAATCCTAGTAGATATGTTTAATAAAACCATGAGCTGGTTCTCTGTAAAAGAGTGCAGTCAGTTTTTAAGAAAGATTAAAAAAATAGAGAAGATATATGCAAGCAACGTTAGAAAGAAAATGGGACATTCCTATAGAAAGAAAATTTGAAACTCAAGAGAATTCTATCGTTATTTTGAGTAATGTGTTTAAAAGCCTTTCTAAGAAAACCTAGAGAAAGAAATTGCCACATGAAGGAAAACTGGATAGGCCAAAAACCATAAAGGAAATGGAATTGGCACCATATGCAAAAACCAACCCTTGAAGGATTAATGATTCAAATGCCAAAACATATCTTTAATAAAACTGTTAGTAAAAAAAAAAAAAATCAGCAAATATTTTTTAGACTTCATGGTTAAAGATTTCTTAAACAGACACAAAAGAAATATAAAAGAGTGATAAATTTGACTATATTAAAATCAGCACTTTTGTTCATCAAATGACAGTAAAAAAAATGAAAAGAAGTTATAAACTGGAACAGATAAACAGAACAAGAGCCTACAGGAGACTGGTAGCAGGAACAACTCCAAATCATTAAGTAAAGCATAACAAACCCAAAACATATATGGCAAGAGATACGAAGAGGCACTTCATAGAAGAAGAAACTCATGTAGCCAATAACATGTTATATGAATAATGTGAATATTTAGGGAGAGAGTGTCCAGAAAGAAGGAACTGCAGAGGCAAAGATTTCTAGGAATATCAAGGAATTCAGTGTAGTGGGAGTAAAGTGAGCCAGGAAAAAAGTGATACGGAGATGAGGTCAAAGGTGACAAGGGGGGCGGGTTGCAGACGTTGGAGACAATTCTAAAGACATCAGATTTTACTGTGAGTAAGACCCATGGGTGGGTTTTGAGAAGAGGAGTGACATCATCTGATTCATTTTTTAACAGGATCCCTTTTGCTGCTTTTTGGGAATTGTTGAGAGGAAGGCAAGGGAAAAAGGGAGAAGATCATTTGGGAAGATTCTGCAATAGCCCACAGAGCCTACAGCCACCTCTACCTCCACTGTGCACAAGTACCACAGTGTATTGCTAACAGAGTTATGGAATGTAGCAATTAGGACCATGGCTTCTAGTGCATCTCTTTGACACTCATCAGAATCAATTCCATGTATGTCTTTATTCTCCACATCGTTCTTCTTTGAGTTAAGGGTACCTTACTTTGAGGGGAGTTTCTAGTTAGGAACTTTGAGAGGTAGGTCTCATAATGTAGCAAACCCCTAGAATATAGGGTGGGAAAAATATGCCAGGAAGCCAGAAAGCATGGCAAATGCCCAATACAGTCCATCCCTTGTTGCCCAGCATCAGCATGTACTCTCCTCAACAAAACAAACAAGCAAACAAACAAAAATGCTCCCTTAAATAATGCAGCTGTAACTTGTACAAGTCAAAATACGCTGTCTCCAAAAGAGTGAATCCAAGGTAACATTAGTGAATGCATCTAACTTCACATTTAGAATTTCTAGGTGAAGTTCATTCATTTTCTGTTTCTGTCACAATCCCTTCTTGATGTCGTATATCTTGTGGAATAATTGGTAAAGACATCTATGAACAGTATGCCCCTTATAAAATAACAGAGGGATGGGTGACAGGGAATAAAAAAATTTCTAATATATTATGAATCTATATAAGACAAAGTAAGAAAGAAAATATAGGTAGCCAACAACCTTTTAAAAGCTCCACCTGGGGCACTTGGGTGGCTCAGTCTGTTGGACAACTGATTCTTGGTTTCGGCTCAGGTTGTGTTCTTGGGGTCCTGGGATCGAGCCCTCAGCTCGGGCTCCACACTCAGCAGGGAGTCTACTTGAGATTCTTTCTCCCTCTCCCTCTGCCTCTGCCCACCCCTCTCAAATAAATAAGTCAAATCTTTTAAAAAAATAAAAATAAATAAAACTTCACCTGGAAAATCTGTTACCTGCCTTTTGAGTAGCAGGAACCTTATTTCCTTGTGCAAATCAGAATTAATCATTAAATACAGAACCCTTTTTATATCACGTTATTTAGTGATTTGAGGAATACAAAAATGGCTATGTGGCACTCTCATTTTCTAATTCAGTGGAATAAATTTGGTGGAATAGTTTCTCCCTGAACATTAAGACCTCCAAACCAGCAAAGCCCAGAGATGGTAATTTTTTAAATAGGAGGGAAAAAATATTTTGATAGTAGATCATTATATGTAATACTAATAGGTGCTATCCCAGTCTCCATTTTGGTACCCAGGCCCTAAAAAACTATCATATATTGGTTCTGATGAGACCATGTACTAGATGTGAGGACAATACCCAGCT